CTCCAAGAGTTGGGGGTTCTCCAAGGGTTGGGGTTCACCAAGAGTTGGGGTTCTCCAAGGGTTGGGGTTCACTAAGGGTTGGGGTTCTCCAAGGGTTGGGGTACTCCAAGAGTTGGGGGTTCTCCAAGGGTTGGGGTTCATCAGTGATCCTCCAGAATTTGGGGGTTCGGCAAGGGTTGTGGTTCATCAATGGAAGGAGTTCCTCAAGAGTTGGGGGTTCTCCAAGAGTTGGGGTCCATCAGTGGTCCAGCAGAATCTGGGGGTTCCTCAAGATTTGGGGGTTCTCCAAGGGTTGGAGTTCCCCAAGAGTTTAGGGTTCTCCAAGGGTTGGGGTTCATCAGTGGAAGGTGTTCATCAAGAGTTTAGGGTTCTCCAAGAGTTGGGGTTCATCAATGGTCCAGCAGAATCTGGGGGTTCCTCAAGATTTGAGGGTTCTCCAAGAGTTAGGGATCATCAGTGATCCACCAGAATTTGGGGCTTCTCCAAGGGTTGGGGGTTCAGCAAGGGTTGGGGTTCATCAATGGAAGGGGTTCCCCAAGAGTTGGGGGTTCTCCAAGGGTTGGGGTTCATCAATGGTCCAGCAGAATCTGGTGGTTCAGCAAGAGTTGAGGGTTCTCCAAGGGTTGGGGTTCATCAGTGGAAGGAGTTCATCAAGAGTTGGGAGTTCTCCAATGGTTGGGGTTCCCCAAGAGTTGAGGGTTCTCCAAGGGTTGGGGTTCATCAAGGGTTGAGGGTTCTCCAAGGGTTGGGGATCATCAGTGATCCACCAGAATTTGGGGCTTCTCCAAGGGTTGGGGTTCTCCAAAGTTTTAAGCTTCACCGAGGGTTAGGGGGACATCAGTGGAGGGAGTTCTCCAAGGGTTGGCTTCATCCAACCCATGAAGAGGGTCCCCCAGTGGTTGGGGTTTCACCAAGACTTGGAATTCCCCAAAATCTGGGGATTCACCAGCGGTTGGAGGGTCCATCAATGAAGGGGCCCATCAAGGGTTGGGGTTTCTCCAAGGGTTTGGTGTCCATCTATGGAGAGGACCCACCAGAATGTGGGTGTCCACCATGAGCTGGGGCTCCCCAGTGAAGGAGATTGACCAAACTCTGGGAATTCATCCAAGCTAGGAACGTTCATCCACCAAACCACCAAAATTTGGGGGCCCACCAAAACCCAGTTTTACCTAAAACCTGGTGGTCACCCCACGTCCCACCACGAGCAGGTCTTGGGTGAACCTCTACTGCGTCTTGGCCAAGGGCGACCTGGGCTTCTACAAGGACGCCAAAGGTCCCGCGGCCGGGGCCACCCACGGCGGGGAGCCCCTGCTGAGCCTGCACCGCGCCGCCAGCGAGGTGGCCAACGACTACAAGAAGAAGAAGAACGTCTTCAAGCTCAAGTGAGTTTTGGGCTGTCTGGTGGCACTTTCGGGGTCTCTGGTGTCATTTTTGGGATCTCCTGCTGCTTTTGGTGGCCCTCACACCCGTTTTGGGGTCTCCTGTTTTTTTGGGTGGGTTTGATGCCGCTTTTGGGATCTCTGATGTCATTTTTGGGGTCTCCGATGTGATTTTTGGGATCTCCTGTTGATCTTGGTGGTTCTGGTTCTCCTTTTGGGGTGTCTGACACATTTTTTGGGATCTCCTGCTGCTTTTGGTGGCTCTGACGCCCCAAAGTCCAGGGGGACACGGTGACAATGTCCCTGTCTTGTAGGACCGGCGATGGGAG